AGACAAAGGTATAAACAGCATCACAAAGAACCAATAAACCCTGGCAAAGCCTTAAAGCAGCTGGGGACATAACAAGAAAATGTGGTTAATATACAAGTGGATACAAAAGTTATTAGGGTTGGAAGGGTAGCTTGGAGGCGTTGGGTTCAAACCCCAGCCCAGAGGGGAGGAACAATGTGGTTTCGGCAGATATTTATCATGTGACAAGTACTGTTCTAGACATAAATACAACAAGAAAGCCATGACATGACTGTACTCATTATTACAATAACAAACCTTGAAGACGGTGACTAGCAGAGAAACTTGTATGAGTCTTTAAAAGGAATGCCTTTGGGAACAGGGTTAGAAGAGGAGAGCCATGAACAGAAGCATGGCCTGGAATTGTTTTTCCTTATGAGCCCTGCTGTGCCCTTTGATTTAAAGTTTAAAAAGGTTTTAAATTATTAACTATTTATGAGCTGTATGGTGGAGTTTTTGTATTTTCTAGTTTATTGAGACAAGGTCTTACTTTGTTGCTCAGGCTGGCCTTGAACAGAAGGTCTTCTTGCCTAAGCCTCCCAAGTGTGGGATTTACAGAGGTGTGCCATCACACCCAGTGGCCCCAAGAAGTATACCATCATACCCACCCAGTGTCTTTCCACCCCTGTGTGTGTGTGTGTGTGTGTGTGTGTGTGTGTGTGTGTATTACTGATGACAGAATTTGGAGACTTTCATATGCCTAGCAGTCTACCACCAAGTACCTCCAACACCTCAAGCTATTTATTATAGGAGTACTTGGTAGGAAGTGGGCATGTGGGTGACCACTCCCTCCTGTATATCTTCCCATGGTATGTCTTGCAGCTAATGATATTCACTGAGATATCCATCATGGGGTGGCCTGAGCAGATCATGTGACTTCTCTTTACCTGTTTTTCTCTGAGGCAAAGATGCTCATGTAAAACTTTCCCGGTGTCCTATGGGGACAGGATGTTCATTGTGGGAACTCTGGAAGGACTTCCAGCTAATTGGAAGAACACTGGTTAGGGCACAGGGTAGAGCTTTGTAGACCACATGTCAATCAGAGGTGAAGCCAGGTGGTGCAGCGTTACCATTGCAAAGGTACCCAGACAGACACCAAATCATGACACAGTTTCCATCTGGATAATGCTGTACACTTGTTGATGACATCTGCACTGCTTACTTGTGGAAAGATGGGGTATTTTGCTGTCCTTGCTGGATTATTGCCACAAAAGATTTCACAAGAAGGCATTTAATCCCTAAGGCAAGAAGGGCCTTCGAATGAGGTGCAAGAACAATTATATACTATAAAAGAAATAAAGAGATAACTGTCTGGAATCAGGATGTAATTAATAGGAAAATACTTAAAAATGTCTGCGTAAAAGAACAAGGAAGATTGCCAGAGAATGTATGCAGGTGCTCATCTGTGAGCCTATGCATAGACAAATACAGAGGCTGCGGGTAGTCTGGGTGGTGTGTGTGTTAGAGGTGGCACAACGGTGCTCTGGTAAATGTCTGACAGATCTGGAGAGGAGATCCTGGATTCGCAGTGGTTGCCAATTTCAATTCTATAAATACTTTCACCTTGGCCAATTTCAAGCTACCCAATTGAAGTCACTGGATGTGGAGTTGGGAGAGAAGGGGTCAGTTCTCAGTGGTGCATGGTGCCTGCCTGTCAGCTGTTGGGTTCAGCAGGTTCCAGCACTATGGTTCACTTAAAGGTTTTTAAGAGAGCCCCAGGTTCCCCAGGTCATCTGTCCTTAGCCTTGTGGATATTGCTTGAACTTTTATCCCAGAACCTGTCACATCTTCCAAATAGAACTGTCTGTCTTGTATGGAACTGCACCAAGTGGCATGGCTGGCTTCCCAGATGTCCTAGGTCTCTCCCGAGGCGGACAAAGCATTGAAGGCCCAGGGACAAAGGAAATAAAGATGCAAGAGAGCTAAAGACAGGTGTTTCTTGAAGCAGAAGCAGAGAGCACCCTGTCAGGAAGGGTGAGGTTTGTAGAGCTGGCAGAACATTTAGTGACTCTGCGCTGGCCTTTTATAAGGCCCCTGGATCCTCTCCTGACTTTCTTTTCTCTTTCATGCCCCCACCCCCACCCATTGCATCATCTCCTAAGCCTGGATCCTGGATGATCCTTGGGCCAGGGAGATACCAAAGGCAAGTTTGGTGTCCCAGCTGCAGAGTAGTTCCACTGTTATGGAGGGATGTTAGCACTTCCCTTCTGGCCTCTTCCCGAGAACTCACAGAATCAAGTCCATTTGCCTGCCTTACAGTATACCAAATCCTGAAATGGGACGTTTTGCCAAAGGAGATTAGTGCCTGGCAGCCAAACTTGTGAACTCATATTTCAAATCCTCTTCTGGGAGGGTGGATTTGGGGCTGCTTATAACCTCAGGTGTGGGGAAAGGTGAGTAGAGGCTAACCCTGAACTGATAAAGCAGGTATGCAGGAACTTCCAGCAGGTGGCTTCCTGGCACCTTGTCCTTTGTCCTTTTGTAGAGTTCACAGCACAGAAATTCTGGGATTGTCCTTTTGGTGCTTTCTTTTTCTTTCCAAAATCGACACAATGGTTGGCAAGAGCACTGTTTATTCAGAAAGCAGCTAACAGGATGCTGCAGGGCTGTCTGTAAAGATTCGGGCAAACTACTACTGGCCACAGGAACTTGTAGGCCAGCAGGAGGAAGGACTCCTTCACCTCTGACTGTTCACCACCCCTTGGAAATTAAGTGGCTGCTGGGGGGGGGGGGTCTTTGGCCCTTGAATGAATCGCCTAACTCCCACAGGAAACCCTCCCTGGTTAGTCTTGGAGTGGGTGCTTTCCTTTGGAACTGCTGGCCTCCTTTTCCTCTCTGTAAATTCTCTGTACTGGAGCCAGCGGGTCTAAAGCCAAGTCCTCTGGGGCTTGGTGCGTATTATGGAGAGGCCCCTTTAAGGAAAAGAGTACCAAGTTACAACATTCAGTGACTAATGGTCAGGGCCTTTAGAAAGAGCCCTGTGCCTACGATGGTGCCTGGAGCTGAAGCTCCATTAGCTTCCACTAGGCAGTTCCGGGAAAGAAGTGAAAGTTTGCAGGTGAAGTAGGTGGTCCGCCATCTCATTTGGAGATATCACCTCCTCTTCCTCTCCCCTTCCGATAAAGAGGTCTTTGAACTCTCCACTTCAATCGAGACTGATACTAGAACACACGTCCTTTCCTTCTAAGGGAGTCACTTTATTCTTCGTTGCTCCTTCTGTATCCCAGCCTCCCCCGAAATCTCCAACCCCCTTCCCATCTCCTTCCCCACTCCAGCCCTCCCCTGCTTGATCAGAATAGACAAACCTGTGAGGAAGGATCGCAACCCTAGCTCCACAACCATTGTGGGTGAGAAGTGACCTCTAGTGGTCAGTCGAAAAGGTCACCTACTTTGACTCTTAACAGTGCCCCGCCCTCAAGCGGAGGAAGAGTGGGCCAGTGAAGCTTGGCATGGTGCCATCCACATTTGATCTTGATGGGGTAGGGGTAGGGGGCAAGGCAGGTGGGTCTCTATGAGTTTGAGGTCAGCCTGTGGTCTACACAGTGAGTTCTAGGCCAGCCAAGGCTACACAGGGAGAACTTATTTTAAAAAACAAACACAGGTGAAGGGTGACAGAGGAAAACATCTGATATTAAAACCTGGCCTCAATACATGCACATACATGTGCACACATATATATCACACAGAAAGAGAAGATTAAAACCAGTCTGGCACAGCTACTACTGTGCTGTCTACTTTGGAGACAGGGATTATGTATCTTGGGAACATTTGCACTTGGCCTTCTGGGTTGCTGGTGTTTTTGTTTATTGGTCTTGTTTTGGTTTTGTTTTTATATTGGCAATAAAACCCAGGTCTTAATGCATGCTAGGTGAGCTCTCTGTCACTGAGCCTCAGCTGCTGCCCCATCTTAGTTTTATCATCAAGGTCCGTTAAATCTAGTATCCTCATGTGTGAAATTGTAACTCTCATGGGCACTTTCTAAATGGAGGCAAAGATTGACTGAGAGAGCACTTGTAAGGTTTAAGGGAAGGGCCAGCAAGTGATTGGTACTCAGTTAAAATCAGTTCAGTCCTTCCTTCAGACCCAGAGTTTATAGAGGGTGAAGAAGGAAGGACTGGATAGGACAGGGGAGGAACTGATCTTGGTTTTTCGTATAGGAAGGCTATGAGGGCAAATGATGTCTAAGTTTATTCAGCCCAGAATGAGAGACCACCTCCCTAGGAAAATGTACACACATACACATAAATCTTCACATACATACTCACAGCCTATAGATTTGGTAGTTTTCCCAATGCTCTAAACTCATTTGTACTAGTTCAAGAAGTCACATTAAGAAACAATGAGATGGCTAGCAGGGCAGTGGTGGCGCATGCCTTTGATCCCAGCACATGGGAAGCAGAGGCAGAGGCAGGTGGATCTTTGTGAGTTCGAGGCCGGCCTGGTCTACAAAGTTAGTTCCAGTACAGCCAGGGCTACACAGAGAAACTCTGTCTCAAAAACAAAAACAAAAACAAGGAAGGAATGAAGGAAGAGAGAAAGAAAGAAAAAAGAGTGAAACTATGAGATGAAAAGTGCTTGCTACCAAGCCTAAAGACCTGAGTTCAATCCCCAGGATATACATGGTACAAGGAGAGAACATCTCACCTTTGCACATGAGCTGTGGCACAGAAATGCCCTCTCCCAAGACAAACAATTGTAAATTTTTTAAAAAAATTAAACATAAACTAAATACATCTGGAAAAGCATGTGCAGAGGACAGTTTTCAACGGATTCTGATCCCCGGCTCCTTGTCCCTTTAGACAAGTCCCTTTCTTTATCTATACTCTTTACGTTTTAAATGACAAGTGAGGAGCAGAGAACAGAGCTCAGCTGATCAAGCACTGGCCTGATCCCCAGCCCTGCATAAACTAGGTGTGGTAGCCTACATTTGTAATCCCAACACTTAGGAGCTGGAGGCAGGAGGGGCAGAAGTTCACAATGGTGCCCCATTCAACAGTGTGTGTGCAAAAACTGAAACCATACAGAGATTAGCATGGTACCTGTGCAAGGATGACATGCAAATTTGTGAAATATTTCACATTCTTTTAAAAGGAGTTCACAGTGGTTCTGGGCTGTGTAGTGAGATAGAGGTCAGCAGCCTAAATTACATGAGACTGGGTCTAAAAAGACAAGTGAAGAGGGGCTGGAGAGATGGCTCAGCGGTTAAAAGCACTGGCTGCTCTTCCAGAGGACCTGGGTTCCATACACAGATCTCCTCATATGGTGACTTGTAGCTGTGTGTAGCTCCAGTCCCAGGGGATCCAATACCCTCTTCTGGCCTTCTTGGGCACTGTATGCATGTGGTGGTGCATAGACCTACATGCAGACAAAGCACCCATATACGTAAAATATAAAGTAATAGCAATTTAAAAACACACGTGAAGGTTAAACTGACGTAAAGTTACCAGATACTGGGTAAGATGCCTCTGCATTTGCATTTCAGAGAAACACTGATATTTTTTTAAGTATTAGTGTATACCAAGTGTTGACTTCATCATGAATTACCAAATTAATTATTATATTGGACATGCCTACATTTACAAAATATTATTTACCTAAATTTTCAATTCAGTAGGGGTACGCTCTATATTTTCACTTGCTAAATCTGAAAACCCTAGACAGGATTTTTTTGTGTGTGTGATTTTTTAAATTTTAATTAGAAACAATCTTGTTCTACATGTCAATCCCAATTCCCTCTCCCTCTGCTCCTTTCCTGCCCCCCACCTCCCTATCCAGTCCCCTTTCTGCTCCCCAGGGAGGGTGAGGCTTTCCATAGGGGATCATCAAAGTCTGTCACATCATTTGGACCAGGCCCTGGCCCTCCCCAGTGTGTCTAGGCTGAGAGAGCATCCCTCTAAAGAGAGGGTTTTTTTTTTTGTTGTTGTTGTTGTTGTTCTCTTTTTTTTCTTAAAGATGTATTTATTTTATGTATATGAGTGTTTTGCCTACTTGTATGTATATGTACCATGTGCATGCATGGTTCCCCTAGAGGCCAAAAGAGAGTACTGGATCCATTAGAACTGCAGTGACAGACAACTATAAGCCACTAACATGGGTGTTGGGCACTGAATCTGGGTCTTGTGAAAAAGCAAGAAATACTCTCAGCAGCTGAGCCATCTCTATAGCCTCAAGTCTTGGTTTTATACTTTTATTATTGCTGGTTATTCATCCTAGGGCCTGAACCAAGGGCCTGCCATGAGCTAAGTGTCCCCTCTAATACCAATGAGCTACAGTTCTGTGACAATTCACATCTTAGTTCAAGGGCTATAGCTTTTTATGATGAGGAATCCTGGAGGCCCATGACTTTCTTTTTCTTTCTTTCTGTCTTTTTCCTTTTCTTTTTATTTTTAAACACAGGGGACTGAAGTGAGACCTGTGGTAGGCAGGCACTCTACCACTGACCTGCATCCCCAGCCTTGAACTCACCTGGCATTCAGGCTGGCCTCAAACTTGCAGTTCTGCCTCAAGTAGCTGGGATCATAGATATAGATCACTCCTGTGAATAACTTAAAGCAGCTAGTGGACACTGTTGGATTCTGGGTAGAAAAGACAACATGCTGGGTCCCTGTGTTGGTTCAAAAGCTGCTCTGTGATCACTAGAGTGTGACTGTCAGACTCTTTGCTTTTCTGTCACTCTGCAATCTTCAGTGGCATTCCCAGTGATTGGTGTAGGCAGCCCTCCTGGTCTATGTTTCTGTTGCTGTGGATCTACAGCTCAGCCCCTTCCTGGGCAGGGCACCTAACTCACACCTCTAATTTGTGCTGGAATGAACATCCTGCCATCCCTTCCTTCCTTCCTTCCTTCCTTCCTTCCTTCCTTCCTTCCTTCCTTCCTTCCTTCTGCTTATGCCTTTGAGTGGCTGCCATGCAGGTGCTATGCTAGATCCTCCTCTGTGGTAATGGTTTTACTTTATCACCTTGATCTTCATCTAGTTCTATAGTCAGTGGCTCTCAAGGAGAGGCACCAGACACCAAGTCACTGTGTCAGAGCTACCTGGGAGACTTGTTCAAGACTCCTGAGTCTCTTCAGAGCTGATGAAGGGAAGGTTATCTAGTGGTGTTCCTGAATGAGTCTGTATGATGAGTATGTGTGAGTGTAATATGTGTATGGGAGGATGTATGTGTGTGGGGGGTTATACGTATGTGTGTGGGGGTATACATATGTGTGTAGAGGGTGTATATATGGGGGGTGTATTTGTTGTGTTTAGGGGGTGTATATGTGTGTGTGTCTATATGTGGGGTATATATGTGTGTGAGAGTGTGTATATATGTAAGGTGTGTGTGTATGTGTGTGTGTGTGTGTGTGTTGCTGAAGATTGTCTGAGGACCTCACATAAACTAAGTGTATACTACTGATAAGCCACACTTCTGCCCACCCCAACCCCATAATACTTACTTTAATCAGAAAGTCACAACTTGCCAGTCATTTTACTCTTTCTCTGACCCTTCCAGAAAGGTCTGGGTCTGGGGAATGTGGGTCACGATTATTAGAACTTTCAAAGTCAAGCTGCCCCTCCTCTGGGGAGTCCTAGAGTGTATTTTTCAGTGCTTGTGATGGAATCCAGGGCCCCGTGCATGCAAAAGAGATCCTGCTACTAGCCCCTACCCAAGCTTAACTTTAATAGTCCAGTCAGTCACACTCCTTAGGCTTAGGTTAACTGCTGGACTTAATTATTAGCAGAAAGATGATTTTCCTTTCCCTCAGTTCCAGGGGGTGGGACTAATCCAGGGATTTATTTGACTTTGGGCAATCATATCACTTCCCTGACTCTACAAATGGGGTACCACTCCACCACTGTTTTCTTGTTGGAAATTCCTCCTCACCTGAAGGGTGAACCTACAGGGTTCACAAACTTCCTTATTAGTTTCTCTAGAATGACTGGAGCCATTTCCACTTTGGAGATGGGAAAGGTACTCATCAGAGCACACACACACACACACACACACACACACACACACACACACACACACACACTTAATGCTGTGATGACTGGGGAGTACAAGGAGACAGGAGAGCTTTGTAGAGTTTACATTAGCAATGTTCCATAGAGGGCAGTAGAGGGACTTGAGAAGACACACCTTTTAGGACAGAACCATCATAATTGACTTGGATGGAACTGGCATTCCAAATACTTAGTATACAAAAGGTACTCGTTAAATACCTGCTTAATAAACTGCTTCAACATTTTAATATAATGTTTAAAACTGTCAAACATACACAGAAGTTAAAAGGAAGATCTATATAATTACTAGCTGGATTCAGTAAGTGCCAGCTAACATTCACTGTGTTTATTCTGTTGGTTTGCTGTTTGTGTTGCTGAAGATTGAACCCAAAGCCTTGAATGTGGTAAGCACACACTGTCCCATTGAGCCAGATCCCCAGCCCTATCCTTGCTGACTCCTTTGAAAGTTAGTAGTAATTATCATGACACTTAATCCCTACATTGTTTGCAGGCATCTCTTGAGAATTAGGGCATTCTTCCACATAACTGCAACATCATTATCACACCTATGAATAATCAAGTATTGTTTCCTAATATTAACTAATATCTAGGTATAGAAATTGCTGTTAGTGCCCTACCCATAGCCTCATGGCCTACATAGAAGTTACCTAAAAACAGTTCCCAGAGAGCAAATAACTTCCTGTGTGTCTTTAAGCTGGCTCACCAGGCAGACTGGAAGCACTGGAGACTCATTGGTTCTCAACCCAAGATGGAAAGACACCGATAGCTAGTTATTCAAGCTCCTTGCTTTGCATGAACTCACTGTGGGCTATATTGCACAGAACTCCTGAGGGCTCTGCAGTAGTCGCTTGCTCGCTAACATGCCCTGTAGTAATTCTCTCCATGTCTTACTTACAGTGCCTCCTGAGATGGTTGTCAGATGAACTATTGCACCCAAGTCTTTATCCTAAGAGCTGTTTTGAAGGGATCCATACCCAAAGGCATCAGACCTTTGCAAAATTCATTCTTGGGGAGGCAGAGGCAGACAGGCAGATCTCTGTGAGTTCAAAGCCAGCCTGGTCAATGGAGTGAGTTCTAGGACAGGCTCCAAAGCTATACAGAGAAACCCTGTCCTGAAAAGAAAAAAAGTTATTTGTTTTAGGGTGGAGAGATAGCTCAGCAGTTAAGAGCACTGGCTACTCTTCCAGAGGACCCAGGTTCAATTCTCAGCAGCTCATAACTCTCTGTAACTCCAGTTCCAGGGGATCTGACACCCTCACACAGGCATACATGCAGGAAAACATCAATGCACATAAAATAAGAATACATAAATCATTAAAGAAATTTTTTGATTTTTTTTTAATTTTTTGAGACTGGGTTCATCTTTGTAGCTTTGTTGACCTGGCTGTCCTTGAACTCACAAAGATCTGCCTGCCTCTACCTCCCTGAGTGCTGGGACAAAAGGCATGTGCCACCACTGCGTGGCATATATATATATATATATATATATATATATATATATTGATTTGCATTTCTATCTGGGTATGTGAGGTACCTGTGGAGGTCAGAAGAGGGCATCAGACCCCATGGAGCCCGTGTTATAGGCAGCTGTGAGCTACCTGGCATGAGCATTTTTAGGTGATAAAATAGTAGAACACACTGCTCTTGTGTCCACTGAGGAGCACAGCCCAAGCCTGCTTAGGGTGGGAGGGCTGTACCCAGCCAACAGGAGCTTTCTTGATGATAATCCTCTCTTGAACAATGCTAGAGCAAGGCTGGGCTGTGCCCAGGCTATCTTCATAACAATAATAATTATGGCTTATGAGGAGCCTACTGTACAGCAGCTTTCCATGTCCCATTTCACTTAATCCTCACAGTGACTCTGTAGGGAGGGTAGGTACTATTATTAATTCTATTGTGTTCATCAAGGACCAAAGGCTCCTGGGGGTTAGATAACTTTTCAAAGTCACACAGTCAGTAAGAAATAGATCTCCGGTGTGGTTACCCAATGTGTTAAAAGATGTGGAAAGATCCAAGAGTGATGGTATACACCTGTAATCCTGATATTTGGGAATGGAGGCAGGAAGATTGGGAGTATAATA